GAATATTTTCATCCTCTAGAAGGGGAAGTTTTTAGATCGGGTCTTAGTCAATTCACAAAACTACTACACTGTGCAAACGTTTTTATTGATAAAAATCAATGCCCTGAAACCTGCTTGGTATTGAGAGAACTGGTACCATTCCAACTCTGTTACAGTGTATTTTATAGGCATTCCAACAAAAAAAATACATTCATATATGACATATCCAAATATAAATAAGAATATTCTCAAAAGCTTTCACGGCTGGGATCTGATGGCTGTTGTGGGTTTTTCAGGCTCTTTGACTGTGTTATGAAGGTTGTTCTTCCTAACGTTTTGCCAGTCTCTATGGCTGGCATCTTCAGAGGACAGGAGTCAGAACTCTGTCTGTGCTCTGGTGCAGTTTGTTTGGATAGTTGAGTATTTATAGCTGTGGAATCAGCTTTTTGTCATTTTCAGGAGATGGGTGATTGTGGTGATCAGCATGATCCCTGGGAGAATGAGGTGCCCTTCCTCCTCCTCCTCGGTCCATCTTGGGATCCGCCGCCGGGCAAGGACTGTTCAGGAGTGGTGCTTTTCATTCCCGCAGCCTGGAAGCCGGGGGGGGGGATGGCTTGGGTAACACACTGATCACCACAATCACCCATCTCCTGAAAAGGACAAAAGCTGATCCCACAGCTATACTCAGCTACCCAAACAAACTGCACCAGAGCACAGAGTTTGGTCCTCTGAAGATGCCGGCCACAGAGACTGGTGAAACATTAGAAAGAACAACCGTCAGAACATGGCCAAAGAGCCCGAAAAACCCACAACAACCATAAATAAGAATAATTTAGTAATTTCCTCAATTTCCTTTAATTTATCAGCCCCCTTGTTAATTCACACAGCCAACATCCACTCAACATGACATGCCATTCTTTATCAGCTGTCCTCTCTCCTGCCAATTATACACAACACAACTATATTTTCAGGCCTAATGTGACCTTATAACCATACTTTTATTCTCATGGTTTGCTAACAGCAATGGGTCCTAATGTTCTTTATGTGTACAAGGCAGTTCCTTGCTCAGTGGCTCTCAAATCCCTATTAGGTCTAAATACATGAATTAATAGAACATTGTTTTATGTCAACAAATCGTAACAATTATGCATCATTACAAAGAATGTATTGGCTGAAATCCAGTAGTAAGTCACAACTAGAGTATGCCCACTGAATCAATGGATTTACAGAAGAGCTTACTCACCAAATCCCTACTGATTCAATGGGCCTACTCTAGTTATGACTTACTACTGGATTTCAGCCAATATACAGATAGAGGAATAGTGCTGGATCATTTTTCAAATTTCTCCATCATTCTCCATCCCCCACTTTTCAAAGCAGTTGTAGCACTAACCTTTCATGGGTGGGCTGTCAAAGCTCTCTTGATCACGGACTGAGAAAGTTACTTTTTAAGACTACAAGTCCCAGTGGTTGTGAGACTCTGAGACTTGTAGTACAAAACGCAACTTTTCCAAGAACTTGGAATATTGCATTTTAAATGTAATTTAATTTTGCTATGGTATTTGGGGAGTTGTTATTCATTGCACTTATTCATTGCAATATCTAAAATGTTATTTTTTTTCAAAAGTTATCCACTTATTTTCTGATGGGGCTTTGGCCACCAGGCGGTTTTCTGTGTGAGCCTAGCCTGGAATCTGGGTGTATGCCAGCAGTTGGAAACATTTCTTTGGGGGCATAAGTGTGGCCATCGGTACTTGGAGAGGCAGTGTGTAGGGGGTAGGGTGTCAGACTAGAACTCAGGAGACCTGGGTTCAAATGTCTGCTCAGCCATGGAAACTCAATGAAGGGCAGTGGCAATGTTGATCTCACGTATCTCGAAAACCCATGAAGGCCACCATAGATAGGAAACAACCTGACAGTATGTGAGGAAAAACAAGTCCAAAAAAGGAACTTTTACAAGCTGTGGTTTATGCCCCTCCCCCTTCTACTCAAAGACGCAAGAGGTTCTGGTTTGGGTTTGTTATGTGACAACGTTGATACTAAACTCATAGCAACCCCAATAGGGCTTTCAAGGACTGGTTTTACTGTTGAAGTTTTGAATGTATGCACAGCAGAAGTGCATGGATCCACAGAGCAGAATCGCTTCAGGTTCCCATGAGTAGACCACCCCTTCTCCTCACCAACTGGCACTTACAGTCTCAATACAGTAACTCACTATGAGGACATTAATAGTAGAAATATATATATTTTTAAAATCCTTTACTTACAGCTAAACAGATGAAACAGCAAGCTGGCAAACACGGCTGTCATGAGAAAAGAATTGGGACCTGGGGTTATGGGCTAGGCAATGCTACGGGAGAGCAGAGATCACTTTCCCTACAGCCCCAAGTTTATTTTCTTTCAGAAACTCTCTCTCTCTCTCTCTCTCTCTCTCTCTCTCACACACACACACACACACACACACACACCTTTCTATAACAGGAATAAAAGACAAAACGCTCTGGTAGTGTGGGCCACTTTGGACTTAGATTTGAACCAGATTAGCTCTGCATCTGTGGCACAAGTGGACAGTTTAAAAGGGAGTCAACTTTATTAAAGACAAAACATGTAAGACATTGTCTAAGACTTTTAGGCAAGGTACACGCTTAGTAAAGGCAATCCACGAAGCATCTATCCTTCACCTAAGTGTCCTCCCTGCCTCGGCTTGGCTAAGCCAGGCGGCCGACTTACACAAGCATGTGGATCAGCTGTCCTCTTGAGGCCACATTTCTCCCGATCTCCTGGAAGACAGCAGCTGACAAACTCAGCTCGCCCTCTGCTCAATCCTCTGCTTGCCTCTGGCTGCTGTTCTTAAACTTCGGTGGCTCTTTTGTGGGTCCTTGGGACTTCCTGGCCAAATGCCTCTTCCAAGGGTTTTTCTTTTTCTCTGAGCAAGTACCTGAGCTGCCTCTGCAGGTAGCCGAGTAGATTCCGGGCTGCAAGCGTCGTCCTGATTTCCTTGCGCCAAAAGTGGTTTACAAGTCCGTCTTCAAAGGGCACTTGAAATTGGAATTCACCACCTCCACGGAAAGCCTTTGAAGCTTCCTTTCCTGTCTCCGGCATCCTGCCCTGGGATTTCCTCCCGCTTTCTCCACAACAGGCAAGAGGCCTCAAAAGACTTGATGACTTTCGACAGTCAAAAGGAGAGGGATGGGGACTTGCAAGTCACAATTCGCTGTCGAGTCAAACTTACGTTGCATCAACGACTTGATGTGTTTTTTTTTTTAAAAGACTCCAACTTGTGATTCGGAACCATTTTTCCAAGTCATGTTTCTAGTCCCTATTAGGGATGGGCTGCTCAAGTTGTTGCTGCCACCACTGCCCACCACCACCACCATCATCCTTAGAGGCAGCAGCCATGGCTTTCTTTCCGTGAGCGGGCTGCTTCCTCTGCCCACACACCCTCCACCCGGCAGATAGGCTGGCGTGTGGGCAGAGGCAAGGCCTGGCTCTGGGAAGGGAAGTTGGCCCACTGTCCCTGCACCTGCGCAGGGACCCACCTGGCTTCCCTTCCAGGCCCGCTGGCTCTGCGCATGCGCCAGCCTATCAGCTGGGTGGCGCATGGGCAGTCCAAATCTTTGGATCAGAGTCCCCAGTCCCAAGCCTCGGGGTGGGGCAAACATCTTGAGCCCTGGACTCAAGGTTTGGAATTTGGGACTCTGGCCCGAAGACTCGAACTTGGGACTCAGTTCCGAAGATTTGCCAAGGTCCGTGCAAAAGGAGAGAAAAAACAGAAAAGAAATGCAGGGTTCTCTTTGAATCAGAGACAGGAGGGAACTCTTGGTTAATGCTGGATAGATGGACAGTCACCCCTGCCCAGAAAGTTCCCTCCCAGCCACACCCACTAGAGGCAAAAAGTGAGGTGGCCAAAAGAATAAACAAACCACCAACCCTCTAAGATTTATAACTGCCACACATTCTCAGTGAGTTTCCGTGGCTGAGCAAGGATTAGAACTCAGGTCTCCTGAGTCCTACTCCATCATGCTATCCACTACACCACACTGGATACTTTAATAGCATTTAAGTGCTAGTTTTTCTTTGGGTGAAAGATCCTTGAAGGCTAGATGTCTGTAGTAACCTTCCTAACATGCGGCAGGCCAAGAGGTATTCTGATGGAACAGAAGCAAGGACTCAGGCATCATCAGTCCAGTCGCCTTCCTTCACAAGCTCTCCAATTAGATCCAAACCACTGCTTCCAGCTTTTCCCCTTATGCAGGCAAATACAGCTACAGTGGTGCTCCGCTTGACTACGATAATCCATTCCAGGAAAATCGCTGTTAAGCGATATTGTCGTCAAGCAGAAAAAAACCCCATTGGAATGCATTGAAAACCGGTCAATGCGTTCCAGTGGGGGATCGATCATATAGTCCAGCGAAATTGCTCATAGAGAATCGTCGATCAGCTGTTCAAAATCACTGTAATGCAGAGCTTCCCATCGGAAAGCAGCCATCTTGAGAAGGGAGGGAAGCCATTTTGCGGAACTGGAAAAATAATCGTATAGCGAACAAATGGTTTGCGAAACAGGCTCCTAATCAATGTAATGTGGATTTCCCCCATAGGAACCATCACAAAAAGTCATTGTTAAGCGATTTCGACGTCATGCGGGGTAAACGTAGAGCGGGGCACCACTGTATTTTGTATTCCAGGCAAAACTGGTTGGGGATGCTGAGCCCTCCTCTGGGTAAGGATTGGTGCTTTGCACCTCAAATGCTTGCAACAGCCACACACCCATTGTTTCACATTAGGAAGCAGGCATTAGCAAGAATTTGGAATTTTAAGTTGATTTTTAGCTCCCAGAACTCTCTGCTCGTAAAACCAACTACCCTGCTGGCTGAGGGATGCTGGGTCTTGTTGTCAAAAAACATAACATGTCCCAGGGCTGGCAATTTCTAAGCTAAGGTCTGATGATCACTTTATATCACATAGAAACAAGTGCCCTGCTTATAATTGGTTTCTGTCTTCTTTCACCAGTTGTCGTCTGAACAGCCAGAGCCTCGTCTTGAAATCCCACCAGAAGAAAGGAAGGATCTATCTGACGAAGGGCAGTCTTCGGCTCCACCATCCTCTTCCAGTTCTTCGCCAGCCTTGCTAAGACGATTGTCAAGCGATGCCAGTTTCCATCTCCCTTCTCCTGGATACAGCCCTAAGCTGGAATTTGGGGATACTTTTTCAGGTGTGCTGGTAAGTTAAAAGCGTTTTGGGTAATACTGTGATCAGTGTCGCTCTAATGCCCGCTTTTAAAATACTTGGGGTCCTACCCCAAAGTGGATCAAATATGAGGAGGCTGGCATTTCCTCAGAACAGGACCTTCTCAGTAGTGGCACCAAGTATGTGAAATTTCCTCCTTGGAGATGTTCATGACGACCTAGCACTGTGCATTGATCAGCCACACCATTAAAACCACCTGCCTAAGATTGTGCTGCCAAAACAGCTCTGATGCATCGAAACATGGACTCCACAAGACCTCTGAACATGTCCTGTGCTATTTGGCACCAAGATGTTAGCAGCAGATCCTTTAAGTCCTGCAAGTTGCAGAATTTGATGTTCCAGAACACCCCAGAGATGCTCCATCGGATTGAGATCTGGGGATTTTGAAGGCCAAGGCAACATGTTGAACTCTTTGTCATGTTCCTCAAACCATTCCTGAACAATTTTTGCAGTGTGGAAAGGCACATTATCCTGCTGAAAGAGGACACTGCCTTTGTGGAACACAATTGCCATGAAGGTGTGTACATGGATGGTCTGCAACAATCTCTAGATAGCTGGTACATGTCAGAGAAACAGCCCCATGAATGCCAGAATCCAAGGTTTCCCAACAGAACTCGGCCCAGAGCATAACACTGCCTCTGCCGGCCAGCCGTCTTCCCATAGTGCCTTCTGCTGCCATCTCTTCCCCGGGTAAATGACGCACACGGACCCGGCCATCCACCGGATCTCAAAGAAAGCATGATTTATCAGACCAGGCAATCTTTTCCCATTGCTCCATGGCCCAGTTCTAATGCTTACATGCCCTTTGCAGGTGCTTTTGGCGGTGGACAGGGATCATCATGGGAATTCTGTTCAGTCTGCAGCTATGCAGCTCCATACGCAGCAAACTGCAATGCATTGTGTGTTCTGATGCTTTTCTATCATGGCCAGCATTAGGTTTTTTTGGCAGTTTGAGCTACAGTATGGGCTAGTTTTCGTGCATTGTGTGCATCAGTCTACGAGCCTTGGGCACCCACCCCCCTGACGCCAGTTCACCGGTTGTCCCTCCTTGCGCCCCTTTAGGTAGGTACTAACCACGGCACACCCCATAAGGCTTGCCGTTTTGGAGATGCTCTGACACACTCATCCAGCCATCACTACTTCTCAAAGTCACTCAGATCTTTTCACTTGCCCACATTTTGGGCTTCCAACCCATGAAATTCGAGAACTAACTGTTCATTTGCAGCCTTATACAGTGGTGCCTCGCTTAACAAGCGCACGGTTTAAAGACGAATCCGCATAGCGATGTGGATTTTGCGATCGTTTTTACGATCGCATTGCGATGTTTTCTATGGCGGAAAATCGCATTGCGATGATCGGTAAGTGTTTTGCTTACCGATCTTCGCATTGCGATGTTTTTTTCAACAGCTGATTGGCGGTTCCAAAATGGCCGCCGGATGCCCCAAATGGCCACCGCAAGTGTTTTCGCGCCCTGCCCTCGCTTACTGAGGGTGCGAAAATGGCGGCGCTATGAACTTCGCTGAACGGTGAGTTTGGGAGCCATAGCAACGCATTAAACCAAGTTTAATGCGTTCCTATGGCTTTTTCCATCCCGTTTAGCGATGTTTCTGTATAGCGACGATTAATCCGGAACGGATTAACGTCGCTATGCGGGGCACCACTGTATATGGTATATTGGCACCTGTCAAGGGGTGGGAGATATATATACACACACACACTCATACGTACTATATATATATCCCACCCCTTGACAGGCGCCAATATAATCAGCGCTATTCACCTGTTTGTGGCTTTTAATGTTCTGGCTGATCAGGGTATATTGAGTGGCTACACTGGCATGGGGGATTCTGGGAGTTGTAGTCCATGTACGCTCAGGTGGCCTAAGTGGCCAAAGAAGCTTGCTCAGCTTTGTTCTACTGACCTTTATGCCTCCTCCAGAGTTTGGAAGCATTCCTTTTTTGGACTACAACTCCCAGAATCCCCCCAGCCAACAATGCTTCTAAGCTCTGGTCTCCTCTAAGAAAAGAATGTGTATTTTCTGCTGTGGGAGAAAAGTAACTTGGAAACAGGACATGCATATTGTTTCTTTTTTAAAAAATGTTATTTTAAACTTGCTGTTTCTTTGGACAACCTCTGTGAGAAAGCAGTTAAGCCTGCAGAGTCCTGTTGCTGCAGGGGGGCAGGTTTTGTTACTGTGCTGTTTGATCTGTCCAGAACTGTAAAGAAAGAAC